ATTTTAAGGTATTCAGAACAGAGCAACATAAAAATCAGAAAAAGCAGCTATACAATTATAGGACAAAGTTTTCATATATGCCATTATAATTAGTGTTTTATTGTTTTAACTGTTATAATTATAATCGGGCCTTCCATCAATTATAGTGATGAAAAAATGACTCGCCAACTCTTAATTGGATGTGCCTTTAGAGAGAAATGCACGGATTTCACAATGAAAGAGTTTATTTTAATAGGAGTCTATTTTCGATTTGAATTATTTCGTTTTAAAATAGTAATTTAAAGCTTTCTATATATTTTGATCATGTCTGAGTTTAGGTTCATCATTGTGAACCGCTCCTGTTCAAGACCGAGATGGCAGAAAGCGTTTGTTTTCTTTATTTTATAAAAGCAAATATTTGTTGATATTGTGAGTGCACACAAATAAAACTAGCTTTACAGTTTACAGCTTTACAGTTTAGAATGATGTATTACTCTTACCTTTATGAGTCATGTTCTTCCACACTGACTGCATCAATCTTTTTTTCTTTTCTTTTTTTTACCTTTCCTTATACACAGAGGCATTGACGTGTTAGAATAGAAAAGGGTCCTGTCCAAACTATTGCTATAAAATTAGAAGCACACAATTCCCTAGAATATCATTATATGGTTAAACATTAAGATTTGTACTCGTGGAAATTACTAAAGTAGTCAAATCTGTTCATTACAATATAGTGTACAAGCCAGCCTAGCTATTCAAAATCTTTGTCTGCAATTTAATAATATTGACCTATTACTTTTGCTATTGCTTTTGACCATTAGGTATCAGTAACATAATTAATTCAGAACCTTTTCTATGAACATAGACTTTCTGTACCACACTATTCTGCTGATATGGAAATGCTTCACTGGGGCAAACAACAAAATCGTAAAATAATAAACAGGATACCCCATAGCAACATTTCCAGCAGTATCCAACATTTCTCAATCATGATCTTACTCAGCTAAATGTGACTATTAGCTTAACAGCTGTATTCCTTGTTTGCTAGCTACCTATGCACATACAGCATACAATGTTAAAAATGTTCTAGTTTATTAACTTTAACCCAAAACCCTTTAGCTTCATACACTGTAGATAATTGTGAACCTGCCTGTGGAAACCCAGCTAAAGTTTTTTTTTTTTAAACAGTGGATGAGTAATTCACTCCTTGATGTGCTTAATAAAAGCCTCCTTTGAGATCGTTTTGACAGACATGTTTATTGTGTATTATTTTCAACATGTTTATTGCTAAGTTTAGTGTGGCAAAATAGAAGCGCAGCCGTAATTCGCATGCAGTGTATCTGGTTGCCATGATAACCTCATGCACTTCCTGCTGCTGCTCTATGTAATCAGAGTGTGAATGTATAGATTTTCTATAGCAAAACTAAAATGTGTTTAAATGTGTGACTGACCAAATCGTCCGGCTTGGTTTGCCACCCCTCGAACTCGAAGACATCTCTAATTTGACAGTTTACCATCTGCTCTCACTCAGTGACTCTAGGCTACGTAGGACGGGACGAAACCATGCAGTGAATGGGGGGAGATCATTTTGCCGGAAATGCAGAAATAATTCGTAATTTTGTTTTATTTGTAACTCTTTGGTAGATACATTTATAATTTCTATTACATTACTACTACTAAGGTTACTACTAATAAAACATCTCTGGGGGCCCCAAAAGTGCGTGGGCCCTTAGAATCGTCCTAACCCCCCCCCTTAGCTGCACCCCTGCACATTGATACTGAATTATTGTCCAGCCCTACATAAAAACTGTTTTCTTGTTTTGGCATATTTGCATGTGTTTGTGGGTGGAGCTTTGGAAAGAGGGGGCATGGCTAATTACAGCACTTTTGTGCGTGTTTTCCAGCATGTCAGCAACCAGAAGACATGGAGGTGATCCGATCTGAAACCGAAGCCGCTCTCGATGACACTGTGCAGGATTCCGAGGAGGCAAAGATCCACACTGCCATGCTGTGGAGCATCCAGGAGGCCGTTCAGAGACAGACGCTGCAGATCGGGGTGTCAGCGTGCGGAGCCACGGCGGTAGTGGACGTCCTGCAGGCGCTGGGTATCACGGTGACTCCAGAGATGGTGAACCACTGCGTGAGGACGAGACTAAGGAGGAACGAGGTGCCGCTGCCTGATTACCTGCACTCTCGCAGCAAGGCTGGGACATCCACTCTACATATTGTGTTTTATTCTGAAAACTAATCTTTTTGGTTAGCTGAAACCCCTAGACATAAAATATTTATTTAAAGATTTTAAGTTAATATTTCATCAATTTAACAACACACTCACATGTTCATGGCAGGGTTATTATAGTTAACTAAAACTGAAACTAAAAACAACAACAACAACAACAAAATGTTTTGTTACTTGAAATAAATGAAATGGTAACTGAAAAAAAAAAAAAAAAACTTTTTATTTAAGCTAGTTGGCAAAGTAACATTAAGTTTAACTTGATGTACTAAAATAACTAAAACTAAAATAAACTATAATAAACTAAAAGTAAAATAAAAATGAAAATTAATAAAAAAAACAAATAAAATGACAAAAAAAATAATAAAATGACTAAAACTTTAACTAAAATTAAAATAAAATGGAAAATACAAAAATAAAAATTCACTCTAAATATATATGTAAAAAAACTATAATAGTATCTCAGTAAAATAACAATGGTTTATAGTTTCTCTGATTTTGGTTAATGAACATTGAAGTGAACAGATAAAATATTTAATCAAGCGATTACACCATGAATCCATTTTCCAAACCGTGTTTTTGGCTTGTGCTGAATCACTACGGTACACCTATAATAAGTGTTTATATTCGGACTATTTAGACTGGTTTGGGTAGGTACCGCTGCTGAGTAGCCCAGTACCTGCGTGATTCGTCATATTTAATTCATGTTTAAATAAATCCGTCAATAATAAAATGACTAAAACTTTAACTAAAATTAAAATAAAATGGAAAATACAAAAATAAAAATTCACTCTAAATATATATGTAAAAAAACTATAATAGTATCTCAGTAAAATAACAATGGTTTATAGTTTCTCTGATTTTGGTTAATGAACATTGAAGTGAACAGATAAAATATTTAATCAAGCGATTACACCATGAATCCATTTTCCAAACCGTGTTTTTGGCTTGTGCTGAATCACTACGGTACACCTATAATAAGTGTTTATATTCGGACTATTTAGACTGGTTTGGGTAGGTACCGCTGCTGAGTAGCCCAGTACCTGCGTGATTCGTCATATTTAATTCATGTTTAAATAAATCCGTCAAGTTTTTGTGACAACCACCATTTAAATGTTTATATAAAAAAAAAAACGAATTGGATTAGAAATATAATTATGTAATTAAAAGTTAAAGTTAGTATTATAACTTTAATATTACAAAAACTTTATTGAGTATATTTTAAGTGTTTGTATACAAATCAGCAAATTTCAGCCTTCCAAAAATATTATTGACTCTCAGGTATATTTTACAGCATTAGTTGAGAGACTTTTTTTCCTTGAGAAAATTTGCTATGTCCTGTACCAGATATATATTCAAAATAATCGATATTGAATTGAATCGAATCGAATCAAAACCTTGTGAAGGATAATCGAAACGAATTGTGAAATTTGTGTCAAATCCCAGCCCTAATAATTACAATGAAAACAGAAAATCTTATTTTATTCAGAAAGTTCTCTGAAGGATGTTTAGTGAAGCGTCAACAGAAAAAGTCTCAAGTTTTTTATTTTAAATACATCTAAAAAATCGCATATATAATTAGGGCGGGGCCATATGGCCAAAAAATTATCACAATATAATTTTTCATATCAGTCAATATTGATAATTATCACAATAAATTTCAAATCTTTATTTCTTGCAGGTTTAAAGGCAGATTTTTGCTCCAAAGTGAAAGTTGTAGAGACCAGACTGTTAATTGTGGTTTTAAACTCTTTATGGTCAGAACATGACAAGCACTTCATGTTTTTGAATTCTTTACACTTTTCCAGTCATTTTTCCTTGAAATAAATACATTAATAACAATGAATTTCTTAGTTTCTGCATGTTCTAATGAGTGATGTTGTTTCAAATCATGAAACAGGTTTGTGTTGCCTGACTTTGATAATGCGTATCTTCAGCAAAGTTTGCAGTGCAGGCTGCAATATTAATAATATATTTTTTTGTCTCTTATAAATATTTGACAGTAGCTTGAGTTGACAGTAGTAGTAGCTTGAGTTAGGATGCAGATGTAAATTTGTTCATTATCAAAAACAGTAA